AAGAAATGCACATAGAACATTAAGTAGTTGCTCAAATGTTGCCGAGCAGTAAAATACTATGATAAAGTGGCATCTTGCTGTGTCTCTACTACATCTTCAGCACTAAAATTAATTTATGACCAGTCATCAATTCATTTACATGTCATTTTATGCTAAATCCATCCTTGCTGATGAATGCGTATCCCCAGATCCATTAAGCTAGGATAAAGCCTATGCTTTATAGTATGACCCTGCTAATTGTTGTATTACCATTTTTATGAGATACAAAAGTAGCAGTTCCCTATTTTCTAAGTACATATTTAATCCATGAACCACATTCTTCCTATTAAATGCAATCTGCCTAACTGCCTATAAAATAAAATCTTTAGCAATATGCATCCCTGAGCAAATCAATACAAATATTGACCTCTGCCTTGGTAAAATATTGGTTAAGTAACTGATGTTGTATAATTTTCCAGAGTTATGACATTTGTGCTCAGACACACTGAATAAACAGCTTTTACCACATAGCTAACAAGCAGAGTGTTTGGTTTTTTTTAAATTAGGTTGAAAATATGCAAAAGAAGGCTGTTATTTTCTCTGTGCTATACTTCTTGTTGGCATCTTTATTAGAATTTTAGATTCTTTCAATTTTGTTACCCATGTGCAAGAATAACTGTGTACTATTTTCAGTCATAAGAACATAAGAATGGCCATACTGTGTCAGACCAATGGTCCATCTAGCCCAGTATCCTGTCTCTGACAGTGGCCAGTGCCAGATGCTTCAAAGCAAATGTAGAGAACAGGGCAGTCATCAAGTGATCCATCCCCTGTCGTCCAGTCCCAGCATCTGTCAGTCAAAGGCCAAAGGACACCCAGAGCATGGATCTTAGCTAATAGCCATTGACGGATGTATCCTGTTTCACTTGAGCAAATGATGGGTTTGATTAAACTCCCATAAACCCTGGCGTTAACAGGGTTGCAGCTACACTAAACTCTTTTCTCCTCAGCTTCCACATAAGTACAGATGCACTAATGGGGGGAATGGAATGAACCATTATGTAGAATGGTCACTGATGTTAGAACACACGGATGGTCTACCCCTGCCAAGAGCAGGTCTATCACAGATGTCAAAGGCTGAAAGTTCTTAAAATGTCTGTACCTTATTTGTAACTAGAGTGCTCACTGTTTCTACACTGCTGGTGGCAAGGCTATGAAATTTTAAGGGGTTGGTCAAGGCCTAAGAGATTTTCAATTGACTTCAATGAAAAGTGGATCAAATCCCATACAGTAATCTTAGACAATTAAGTCCTTATGTACTATTAAAGCAGAACAACAAGAATTCTGGTCAAAATTATGGCACAAAATTGCATCATAAATACAAACATTACATTAAACCAATGCAATCCTGTCTCCCAAATTTCCCATTACCAATATTTCAATGAACCTGTTAAAAAAAAAGGAGACATAAATGATCAATTAACTGAAAGTTAAGAAAGCAGGAGTTCTATATCAGCTCAATATTTTTATGAGAACCAGCAACTTAATCGTCTAATAAACTATGGATGATTTAGATGCTGGGAAAAAAACATCATAGTGTTAAAATAAGTCCTTCTTTCCATTTACTATTACTCAGAATTTTGCTGGAAACAAATTAACGCTTCAGCTTTTAGATTTATAAAATCATTATTCAAAAGTTTAAATAGAATTTTCCCAGCTTGGGTTTCCTTTATAATACCTAGAGACCATTAAGATGTGTTTACTGTGAACTCCTCTTTCCCTTCCTCCCTTTTTTTTTTTTATACATGTCAGCATTTGCTCTCTCACCCACAAACAGAAAAGCTTAAACGCATAGAGGAAAATCTCTGTCTGCATCCTCCATCAGCACTAACTAAATCAAGAGGGGCTGGGAAATAAAGACTTTTTGACAATGAGGGGACCCTACTAAATCTAACATTTCCTAATTCAGTTGACATATGAGCCTACTGACCCTAATAAAATAGCCTTTGGAAAAATATCCTGATGGTGACTTTCCATTTTGTGCCTCAACCTCAAACTTTTGGAATTGTATTGTATTTTCCATCTATCAAATTATATGGTATGATCAAAGTAATTCCTCCACTTTCAGATAAAAAGATCCACTACCACTGAGAGACCACTCAGAATGCACTAAAATCTGACGGCATCTCCAACAGCTCTGCTTAATCATGGTCTTGGATGTTATTAGGACTTTTCTAGCAACTTCTATTTTATAACTGCCACAATGGGAGACTTCCTGGAGAAACACCATCAATAAATTCCATCACTTAAACATGCCTCATGTCAGATGCATTTGGAAGTTGGAGTTCTGTTTCCACTGAACCAGTCTGCATAGCACAAAAATCTCCCCCTTAGTGGGTGCTGGATGTAAAACTAGTTGGCAGCCTCAGCAGAAAGCACAAGGATTGACTCTGCTATGAGGACCAAACTACCCTCTCACTCCTAGAGATGATATCTCCAGGTCAGTGCTGAGGCAGGCTGACCTCAGAGCAGTGCTTCTATCTTTGTTGTCTCTCTGTTCTGAGGCCTTCAGTATCTGGGGATGTGAGCCAATATTTTTCCATAAGTACTAACCTCACAGAAACACCTCTTTTTAACAATAAATGTTGGCTTCTGAGTTCTTAAGGACCAGGTACTATATTTTTGCTCAATTTTCTAAAATATTCAATAGCTTTAGAGAAATGAAACAACATTATAAAAGTCCCAGGAAATCGCCGTTCTAACGTATCTGAAGCCCTACGCAAATAATGAGCTTGTATTTTAACTCATCAGTTATTTTGTTTGCAGGATATGGGGAGACCTCAGGAATGCCTAACATATCAAAGATAAGCAAATCAGGCAATTTGAGAAACCTTTGAAACAATGGGTTCTACATACTGTGCATATTGCTGAACAATCAAGCCTATGGGGGTTAATGGGATCATAAACATCTCAAAATATTATCCTTTGAAACATCCCCCACAAATATAATATGCACTTCCTCATGTGAAAATGATACTATTGCTAAGAGACTCAAATCCAAGAGAGAAAATGAAGGCTTTTATCGTATTTCCCCATACAGTCATTGAGGAAGGCAGAAGACAATTTGTTATCTAGATGCCTGAGATTTTGTAGGTCATTTTACTAAACATATGTATTATTTATAGGTTATGAGGTAAAGCACAACTTCTTCCTGCAATATACAACTTCACAGACTGAGATTTTTAACACACCAATAATTAAGCAGTATTTCTATCTAGGAAAGCAGGTTTGATTTTTATTCATAAAAGCATCAATTGTAATGAACCCAGAAGTATGTTAACTGCAGTAGAAATGCAGCTGTCCTTATTTCATTCACATTAGGTAAAGTAGGATACTAATAACAGTTGAAAATATAAATGTGTGAAATGCTCATTTTCTGATATACAGATATACCAATATTGACATATTAATACACACTGAAGGGACAATATATAGTAAGCTGATTTTTTTTTATTTAGTCCTGTATTATCACTGTAAAACCTTTGCTGCATTCCTAATGGAAAGGCTTCAGAGCCATTAGTGAGATATGCAAAAATATGCAGAATTATAGCCTGAAGGAGCTTATGCTAGAAATTCAGGCAAAGTAGCTTACCATATTCGTGCACTAGTAAGTCAGCCTTCTGAATTCAAAAATTTAAACTATAACTCTACAGCTTTCATTTGGATCTGGATTTCAAATCACAACACTAGAGTTACAGTTCTTAAATCTTAATTAGCTTGGCAAGCAGTCTGGCCCAGGGTAAGGGAAAAACCGGAAAGTGGGATAGAGCAGTACACTGTTTAATTCAACAAGGGAAGAAGAGGAAAATTATAGGTACTGATGCTTCATCACTGTCACAGTCCTGCCTCCATCAGTGGGAACTGCAATGTGTTTTCAGAGCTGCAATGTTTAGATAAGGGAGTAAAATTCTTAGAACTTGTAAGGCACAGAGAGGTGAGATAAAATTAAGTGGTGCTACATTAATATGTCCCCAGTGAGCAAGTGTACTGTGCAGGTATATCTAGAAATTAGTGCTTTCACATAAAGATCAATGACTGAAGAGACAAACAGTATTTTTAATGAGCTATGTAAGACCACGCACATTTGAGTCATCAGTAGAGCTAAATCATCATGGATGCAGTACGTTACGTACAGGTCCACCTTCAGTTTAAAGGAAAGTTTACTGATGCCTCAGAAAGGGTTCATAATGTTCATGTAAAAACAGCTTTTTCTCAGAAAACTCCATGGCTTTCTGTCTTTCTTTGACAGCAATTTTACTAATTCAGATTCGGTGGAATAGTTTAGCATGCATTTTCAGGCCCCTCTTTGTTGATCCCAGTTGTTACTTTTCTAGACATCCAAGGAATAAGAAACAGTGAAGGAAAAGGTGACAGAATAATTAAATATCTTCACTGAAAGGGAACAATTATTAAATACAGCAATATGAAGTGGGTATAAAATATATGTTTCACCTACATATACATTTTCTTCAGTCTACAAATACATTTTGTGCTGATCTAGCCAAGCTTATTCTGAAAAGTCTTTTTACCTCCCTGTGTTCATCAGTGCATGCTTTTACATAGCCAAATATCTAGAAACATTTTAAGATAACATTTACTTTTTATGCTGCTCCCAATATACAAAATACAGTATATCGTTTCAAAGTTAAGGGCTTCTCCCCCCACACCCTTTTTATGTAATAGACTTGCTTCCCCAACAGTCTGAACTTTTCATGAAAGACAGGATATAATTGAGTTTTCTTTCATGTCTTTAAAGCTTTTTAAAATTCATGAATTTTCTTATCATTCTGCAGCAAAGCAAAAGTATTTTCAAATCCTTCTTTAACTTTAGTGTTTAATATTAACATATTTTAAATATCACAGAAATAGAATGGAATAAATTTTTGCTTAAAAGGTATTTGATTTATGATGTATTTTAATATTACAAACATGTTGGTTCACTCTTAAATGTGTTTGGTTACCTGTCACAGAGCTGTCTAGATTGTCCATACTGGATCCCGGAGTATGCTCTAGACCTCTTAGTGGCCTAGTGATTTCTATAGCTTCTTCTTCAATATCATCCTCATCATCATCTGGAATGTCTGTTTCCAAATCTGAAATAAGGGTTCCAGCTACATATCCAAGTGGTGGAATTGGGGCCAGAGGAGGTTGAGTATTGCTTTGGATGTGCCTATACAAACAGATAAACAGAAATGCTGTTGGGCTGAGCGGAAGACATTGGTTTGCTGGGCCAATGAGAAAAGAGACAAATCTTCCAGTATACCCTGAATGTATTTACAAAGTTGTTTGTAAGTTATTTACCCAAGAAGAGGTGACTCAGATATCTATGTCAGGTATGTATATGGTACCTATTACCATAGTATCTGAGTGCTACCTTTTAATGTATTTCTCCTTACTACAACCTCAGTGATGTGGAGAATTGGTATTACCCCCATATTACAGATGGAAAACTGAGGCACAGAGAGAATTTGTGAGATGCCCAAAGTCACATAGGAAGTCTATGGCAGAGCAGGGTCACTTGGGTTCCAGGCTAGTGCCCAAACTGTTAGAACATCCTTCCTCTCAATAGAAGCCAAAAGCTTTCAAATTCAACTTGTACTGCAGGAAGAGGACATTTTCCCCACCCAAACTAGATGTTATTACATGGAATTCAGCCTGAAGAGCAGGCAGTGTTCTCCAGACAAATAGTTTTCTGGTAGCATGGATTGTATCTCATCTTCAGCACGCATGTATTTAGTTTGCCCAACTAGAACTAATTTAACTAGAGCACAATGAGGTCATTATTGTGGCCCTTCACAACACTGATTTTGAAATCTGTGGATCCTAACAATGTGGATCCTAACTCTGCAGCAACTCTAATAAGGGGAGCAGGACCGAGTCTCTTAGCTGTGAGCTGCTTTCTTAAGCAATCTGTTTGAGTGGGCGCTGTGACAGGCAAGTAGGGGGTTCTCAGAAGCCAGTTATGACTTTGCTTGACTGTTTGCAATCTGTAAAGTGGATCCTTATTCATGATTGGTCAGCATGGTAGAAAGCCCAGAATTTTGGTCTTCTTATTGTCAAAGAAATAGATCCCACAGTGAACTGGATAGGGAGGCTAGGACTTGGAACATTTTACTTGCACCACCAGTAGGCCACATTGGGTCATCTGACTGCAGTTGAACAGGGCTATGTAAAGCAGGTGTGGTCACCGGGTAGCAACATTCCAAAATGGCCTCCCTACCCCTTATTTGGAAGTTGTGAAGGGCACTTATTGAGCAATTTTGCCTGCCTGCTGGTATAAAAGGGCTTTAGGTGGCAAGAGAGAATTAACTTTTGGTTATTGTATATGGATTATTGGTATTATGTATATTTATACAGGTGTGTTTTTATAAGCTAAAATCAGGTGGATAGCCCTCCCCCAAAAAGCATAGATGTTGTAATGAGATTCACAGTGTCATCTGACACCAAAATGGCACCTGCAGTTTGCAGGCCATTGGAAGCATAACACCTGCAAATTACAGCCTTCACAGGCAGGGCACACATTTGTATGCTGGCTCAAATCAGATACTGGAATGGGCCAGGATTAGCTGCTGCCTCAGATTTGGGCCAGTCCCCTGGGCAGGCTAGGGCCTATACTAGGCACTGTGGCACTGCAGTAGGGCCTAATTACCCTGTGGATGGAATGCAGCTTGCAAATGAGCCTAGAGGCTTCCAAGAGAAAACAGCTGCATTTGATTTGGCATGGATTGTCTACCTGTCTGTTCTATTTATGATGGCAAATGTTGAATATAGTTGTGACCTTTGTTTGCCAATGAAGCATGTCTGCTTCTTCGCTGGTGGAATGTCATTCAGCAACGAGTTGTACTTTATCTTCTGAGATTCTCAGGCTCTTTTTTTATTTTCTCTAGATGGAAAAGTTTTAAAAGGACAACTACTACTTAGGGGACACCCAGAAAGCAACAGTTCTTGTCCTGTGCAGTTGAAAAGTTCTGTTTTAGTCCCTGAAGAGATTGCTTCTAATGTTTGTTTTATAGTGAAAATGTTACAGTGATATTTGCTTCTTCTTCCTTTGAATAAGCGAAAAACATTCTAACAGACTAGATCCAGTCTGTGTAATTTAACAACTTTCTTCCTCCTGTTTCTATTATCTTCTTATTAAAATTAGAGGTGCTATTTCAACATACTATCAAAACTCTTAGCTGTGTGGATACTTCAGTCTCATGTAAATGTGAATGAAGCTAATTGTCCAAAAAAAACCGGTTGTATTGATACTGAAGGTGACCGACCTGAAGATTAAACAGTGATTTAGTGTCTCGTTATTTCCAAAGCCCTGAAAAATTCAATTTATTTGCTATCCTGAAGTGTGTGGATAAAAGTTACCTGTTGATGCGGTTAATCAATTGGCATATACCAGCATTCCAGATGAATATCGTGTTTAGATGTATTTTTAACACAAATTTAATACAATACCTATTTTTAGGTTCCATTTTCATACCATAGAGATACTCTTTTTAATATATATATTTTTTCAATTAACAGTTTCAGTTGTTGTGTAGTAAAAAGGATTTTGGCACTGGATACTGTACTATTACAGTATCATTTTCTAAAATTACATGTGTCTAACTCAAACATTTACCATGTTTGCTTTGCTATGTCAAACTGGTAGGCCCTGGTTAATTCATCAAGGTGGGCTTGAAGCATTGGCTGCATTTCCTCTCGTGGAGAAGGTGTGAGAGTTGCAGTGGACTGTTGCCCAAAGGAGATTGCTGGTGAGGAGGCCACCCCTCGGACAGGTGGTGTAGGCACTCTGTCATCATCTTCTTCAAGCTCATCCTCCAGGCCCTGGTGTAAGTACGTCTGAACCGGTAAAGGAGGACACCAACCATCACTGTCATATCTGAAATCAAGATCATGTAAATTTAGTATCAACCAAAACTAGCCTCTTCTCTATATTAGAGGGAAAGACGGGCATCTTTATTATTGCTATTTATTATTCACATTACCATAGAGCCCTAGTTATAGGCTAGACCCCATTGTGCTAGGTGCTGTACAAACTCAGAAAAGGTGACTTTTGAGGAGGGATTTGAAGGTGGATAATGAGGTTGCTGTGTAGATGTTTATGGGACATGCCTACCCTGGCATGTACTTTGAGTCTTAATTATTATTTTAAGTATAAGTAAGGCAATAATTGCTGAAATTTGTCACATTGGTTTTGTTTCTTTGTTTCTTTGGCTCATAATAGCTATGCAATTTGAACAAAATTTGCTACAACAAACCACATGTCCTTTATCATGTTTTTTAATATTAATCAGATAACATTACCTCACAATTACCAAAGGAAATGAACTAACTCACTTTCTGGACTATTAAGCTAAGAGAATGAATTAAAGATTTACCTGCATCTAGACATGAAAACCCTGATTAAAGGACAGTGAATGAACTCAAATATTTAGGCATAGCATTTTCGTACTTCCACCTTCCTTCTAACAAGCATATGTTAGATCTCTTCTTGCATCCCCAAAGCAGTGACCATACCAAGAGAGGTTTGGAAGATTTGTTGTTACCATTATTCTACACATAACCCAGTCATTACTCCCCCACAGTCAGTAAATTAATCGTAACTGGAAAGGCAAGCAGCCTTTTCACATGCTGTTCTATAGCCTGCTCCACTCCACACTACTCTAATATAGCCCAGATGTAGGGGTGAGGGAGGGTGGTTGGCACAGGAGATGTCTATTCTGGTGTGATGTAAACAAAAATATCTACCTTGAGGAAATTCTCAGCTGGACACTTAGGATATGTCTACACTGGGTTTTAAAACCCCTGGCAGCAAGTCTCAGTGCCTGGGTCTACAAACTCAGGCTCATGCTACAGCATTAAAAATGGCAGTGTAGAACTCAGGCTGGAGCTGCCATGGGATTTAGAGTGCAGTGTGGACATACCCTTAGGGCCATATTTTAAAAAGGGTATTTAGGCACGCAGCAGGATTTTCAATAGTGCCTAGATGCCCAGCTCCCGTTGGAGCTGGGTACCTAGGTGTTTCTGAAACTTCCAGTAGGTGCCTATCTGCATCTTTAGGCATCTAAGTACTTTTTAAAATTTTGCCCTTCGGTCCACATTCCAGCCCCTTTTTGCTGCATGCTCATTACAAAGGAGCCAGAAACAGGGGAGGGAATATGGCTCTAAATGTAAAATACTAGTGTTCATTAATACATTATTACATCTTTGGCTTTCAGTGCACTATATGTAGTGAATTCAAAAGTTATGGTTTCCACAAAGATTGTAAACTGCATACATTGCCTTTCTGTATTTTATGCAACCTAGAAAAAGTATTAAATGCATACAACAGCAACACACCCAATTCACCCCAAGCACAATGGGAGGTTATATACACATGATAAATGACAGAGCCATCTGATAAATTGCATTTATCATGCACCTGGGACTCTCTGCCAGCACCTCACCTACTAATTAATCTCCGTTGGGACTGCTTAGATGACATTCTAAATTTCTAAATATTTTCAACACAGTTGCCACAAATTTAAAAAAAAAAATATGCCAAAAAATATTTCCTTCTTTCATTCTTCTCATATAAGGAATTCTCAGCTAGAATTACGTTGGTCTGAGAGTAATACTCAGTCCTGGCCCAAAGAAAAGTTTAGGGTCTAATACAGGGGTCGGCAACGTTTGGCACACGGCTCGCCAGGGTAAGCACCTTGGCGGGTCGGGCCAGTTTATTTACCTGCTGACGCGGCAAGTTCGGCCGATCGTGGCCCCCACTGGCCACGGTTCGCCGTCCCGGGCCAATGAGGGCGGCGAGAAGCTGTGGCCAGCACATCGTTCGCCCGCGCCGCTTCTCGCCGCCCCCATTGGCCCGGGACGGCGAACCGCAGCCAGTGGGGGCCGCGATCGGCCGAACCTGCCACGTCAGCAGGTAAATAAACTGGCCCGGCCCGCTAGGGTGCTTACCCTGGCGAGCCGCGTGCCGAACATTGCCGACCCCTGGTCTAATATATTGTGACTCATCAAGGCTAGAAACTGAAGTTGTATTTTCCATTCCAATAAAGCTATTGTTTCTCGTCCTGACATATCATGAGAGAGAGAACATTAAAGTTACATTATGGACAGAAAAGCTATTTTACCCAATATTTAGAGACTTCTAAAATGAATGAAAGTACACTTTCTCTCTCCCTGTGTAGAAGTCTATACAGTTTAGATACATAATTGTTAAAAGAGCTTGACTTTACAGACAGAAGTTTGGTGGAAAGGATCATGTAATTAAAGACAATATCATAATGCATATGCACAGGCAGACTTAATTTGGGTATCTCCTAACTTTTGAATGATTGCTTTTGAAACCTTAATTTTCTTTTAAAATGTTTGATGTAATATAACATGTACAGAATACCTGATGGTGTGATATAGTATCAAGGCATTGCTGGCACTTATCTGTGATGACCTTCACAGCTAACTCATTTCATCTGATATACCTTGCTTAGTTTTTGGAGCTGATGAAACTGTAGCACAGTAAATATTGTTAACATCCATTTTTCTGAGTAAAATACAATTTTACATTTTCATAGTAGCTATCTATAAAATATGAGTGATTAATATCACCAGGAATTTCTGGCAATGATTCCACAGAAATTCACTTAAAGTCCATGTCTGAAAATTGTCCTGGAAAACCCAAAATCTGTATGTTCCCATTACTGTTGTCACTTTATAGTCTTATGTTTTTTAATCTATTTATATTTGGCTGTTAACGAACTAATATATACTCCATTGACATGTTGCCTTCTCCTTACAATATGAATTAGATAAGATAAACAATGTGATAGGTTGGTCTTTACACCGCAGCTTTGTTATAATACACAATCTTTCAAGCAAGGAAGGTCCCTTTCTTCAGGAGTTGTCCAAAAGGATGTATTTGAACTAAAAGAGTATCATATTATTACCTTCATTACTTTTTCCTCAAGAAGCAATATGATTAACAATTACATTGATATCACAACTAATTAATATTTCCTTTTTGTTTCTCATTAGGAATAATCAATAGCAATAATTAAACGTGTCTTATAACTACCTGTCTGCATGAAGGGTTTCATTACTGGGGTCGGGTGGAATGATGTATATTATTAATGATAAAATTAAACACTGAAAAAAATACTAAAAATAAAAGGTAATAATAATTAAACAATCAATGTTCAATACAGCCACTATCCAGATTATTAACTAAAACAAGGAGAAAAATACAGTTTCTTGAGAAGGGGAATTGGGAGGGTGCTTGACTGACAATAGCTCAGGGAAAGGAGAGAAGGTACAAAAGGCATGTGGGGGAACTATGAAAAGTTAGGGAAGACAAAAGGGAATGGAGATGGTGTTAGCGGAAGATCAGGAAAGAGAGCTGGAAATATCCACACACATTGACTTTCTGAATATCTTACCCAATAGCCCACGCCATACAAAAGTCTGCTTTGATTTGGAGATGATGTCTCCTCCCTCAATTGAGAGAATAGGACAGATTCTTTATCTCATCCAGCATAGCTGAGGCAAAAGGAAAGGCTGGGGGGCAGCCACAGGTAGTCAGATGAAACTATTTTATAATCCTTAGCCACTCAACTCCAGTGCAAGTTGGAGCCACACAGGAACAGCACTAAGTTAGGTCACTGGAGAATATGGCATCGTGGAGCTCTGCTATGCCACACTGGTTCGTGTCACCCCACTCCTGGCACACCTCCTCTATCCATTTGTGTTGCAGGTGCCTGGCACAGCAGGTGGCAATCATCTCCATGATCAGGGAGTTCCCCTGTACAGGGGGAATTCTCCACTGGCTATCTTTGGCCATTTTAAGGCCATTTGTCCGAAGTGCCTTAGTGGCACAAAATGGCCTTAGTGACCTGGAGAATTTGGCCCAATATATCCATCTTATGTTACAAGGGTTTGGGGGGAGCATGGGACTGATTTTAGGCCCTTGTACACATCTGGAGAGCAGTAAAGAGCTAAGAGTTTGGCTAGGTGACCATGACCATTGTTCTTGGTTGCAGACATCACAACAGTTAGTTCTGGACTGGATTACTATAATGCACTTCATCTGATGCTACGCTTGAAAACAATCTGGAAACTTAATCTAGTGCACAAGGTTGCTGCCTGCTAATTTAATGATGAGGCTAATGTAGATTATAATATACCTGTGCTTCACAGGCTGCTGCTTACCTATAGGTCTCCAGGTGCAATTTAATGTGTTAACTTTGATGTATAAAATCCTTTGCAATTGAGTTTAGTTAGGATGCTCACGGTAAGAGTCCATAAATGGAAACTCAGGGATTAGGGAGAGGAGAGGGTTGGAAATTGAACATTCTGCAGGACACTGTCCTGCTGGTATAAGTTAGTTCGTCTTCAGATCACATTGCAAGGCCTGTCTGAATGGATTCAGTTTTCCTGTGCAACATGGTTATTTCCAAATATGTGATTTTAAAAGTTAAAATGTAATGTTATGGTGGGTATTTATGTTAGAAATCAAACGAATTACGATGAATAAAAATATAAAAATAAAAATCTAAGCAACTTTTTTCCAACATGTAAATATTAAAGCTGACATAGGAAATACAATCTTGATTTTGCACTTTCATTTGACTTTAGAGGTTGAAAGAAAAAAGATGCAAAAGGCCAAAAATGTACTGGCTAGATCCTCAGCTGGTATAAATCAGCGTAACTCTACTAATTTAAATGGAGCTGTGTCTATTTATTCCAGCTGCAGATCTGGTCTATACATTTAATTTAATTTTTTTTTTGGTCATTTTGATGTACTTTAGAAAGTCTGGTTGCCATTACTATCAATGTGACATTAAAACTAACTGAAAAGTGTAATTTGAAAGATAAACACAGCAAAAACTGAGCCTGAATTGTGTGGAACTTGGAAGTGTGTTGTCAATATCCCTGATTACTCTACCCTTAAATAACCAGTGTTGTTTTGGTGACTAATATAATTTCTTCCATCTAGATAACAGATATTTTATGCAACTAAGAAGTCAAGCCCTGTGTCACAAAGGCTTTCTCTAGATGGTACTTCAATTCACTTGTCTTATTTATCAGTTTGTCATCTTTAAAGAAGATGGAAGTGGTTTGCCTATTATTGCGGAATTAATTTAGTTAAATATTAGCACACATTGATTTTAAAAAATAATTAAAACACCAAGCTGATCTAGAGAATTATTATTATTTATCATATCTTAAATTTGTATAGTAGTCTATTAAAGTAGATTGCATTTTTGGAAAAAAATCCTTAAATATAGACAGTACTTTAAAGTCCAAAATATATATACGAAATAGAGCTGCATGAAATTTGGGGTAAAAACTTTTTCCCTGAAAAATGCATTTTTAGGTTGACTGAAATGTTTAGAGAATTTCTGTTGAATTGACCAAATTTGTTTGGCTGGAAAATATATTTGAATAGCTCTAGGTATAGTAAGGAGTATTTCTGATTCTAGCATGCTTACTCAGGCTGAATGGAATCTTACTCTGGAAGTCATCCCATAAATTCATGGAGCTGGATACTATTCAATGTGAATAAGGGTAGCAGAACATGGCTTAAAGACAATATTTTAGATTTATTTGATCACCTACATTTTGGTATTTTGGAAGGAGGGTGGTTTAAAGGGACATGTAGATCTTTGTAAGCATGATAGAGATTAACTAACAGTATACAGTTTATGCCAGATGGTGGGGGGAAACATAAGCATGGATCTGAGCCTTTGCCCATTTTCTGAAAGGAACCATATCAAAACTTTTGTGCCCATATCAAAATAGTGTAAATAACATTTCTTTCCATTTCAGTAACTAACAAATTTTTTCCTTTCCCATGACATTCTAATAGGCTCCAGCTCCTGCACAACATATTAATCTCCAGTAGCCTCCTTTTCCACCCAGCTGTCTGGAATTCACTGATCGCACTGCCCCAGCCTGCTCTGTGTAAAAGTGTGGCGGGGGGCTTCACACACAGGGCTACCCCTTTTAAACTCTTCCACCTATCTGGTTCCCAGGGGATGAGTCAGTGTTGCCACGCTTGCCCCTTGCCCCTTTTGCAGCAGTTTTCCTCTCCACCCCCCCCCCCAGCCATAAAGCACTGTTCCCAAAATTCAGCCAGCCAGACAACTCCCACCTCCCGCTCTTAAAGGTGCAGAGTCCATTTCTGGACTGAGGGGGCACAGCTCTGTGGCAGTCTCTCTATTAGGCCATAGTCACATCCATATTCAGTATTCCTATTCTGAGTTACATAACCCAGAATATGGCAATGCGAATTCTTCTTTTGGGACTAGTGCCCTAGAGAGAAGCGTCCAGAACAGTTTTGCCACACAATAAGAGGTTGTATTAATAATAAGTGTTGACTAAAGATGCTGGTGGTAGAGATCAGTGTGTGGGGAAAAAAAGGGGAACAGGTAGGAAGGAAAATTAAGGAAATGTGTTGGACAGTCAGAGAAAAGAAAAACTGTGAGGTGAGAAAGAAAAATATGAACCAAGGGAATGGGTAATTAACTCCAGCTAGCAAGGTCATAGGGATGAGAGGGAGGCAGCTGAGACCTATTGAGGAATTGCAGGAAAAGAAGAAGAAACTAGTTGCTATGGCTGGCCACTAGGAAAAGAGGGGAAACTGAGGGTAGCGTGTTAATGGAGAAAGAGAAAGAAGTTTATGGAAGGCCTCAGAGAGGGTGGGGAAGTGTGGGCCTGTTGGGAAGATAATGGAGCGGGATGGGGGAAGTGAAGGATAGATTGCAGGATTCCACAGTGGGACGGGGGAAGAGTGAGCTTTAAAAAGTTTAGGTATGTACACCGGCAAATACACAAACAATATATGGTTTGCCCATTAAAATGTACTAACATAACTTAAATCAACTGTAGCTTTGGGAGATGATTCATTAAATATTTCATGACCTTTCTCTAGGACCAAGGGAACAAGAAGATTAGCTTCTAACTTAAAAAAAGGAAGATGTAGGATACTATGATTATTTTTAAAATTATTTCTCATGATGTGAAAATATTGGGTTATCAATACAGATAGATGGGCCAAATTTATCCCTGATGGTGCTCCATTGACTTCCACAAGCTCCACCAGAGATGAATTTGACCATTTCCATCTGTTTTCCTACATTTGTTATAATTTATTTTTTGTTATATTGTGATTGTTCTCCTCAAAAATGTTAAATACATCAGTTATGAAAACAAATCACAGGGTTGTTTCTCTTGACATAAAATGTCTACTCCCATTTAAAAAATGTTTGTGGCATGCTTTTCTGTCCCTGGGAATGAGTTTTAGCAATCCAAAGAGGTTTAAAGTGTCAAGATGCATGTTTAAACTCCGGAAACTCACACATATAGCGTGTCTATAACTTGAGCTCCTTTTTCAGTTCTGCAAGTTGAGTATCATCGACTGGCAGGTCTTCTAAAATTATTCCATTTTGGTGTCTCTTTGGTGATTAATCTGTTGCCAGACTTTAGAAAAGTCGAAAAGCCAGATTCTGCCACCCTTCCTCTGCAAGAAGCCCAATTAACTTCAGTGGAGCTACTTGCAGAGTAAGGTACTACTTCGCATGAGTAAGGGTAGAAGAATCAGCTCTAAATTATTATGAAGCAAGGTTATCCTTGGTGCCCTTTTGAGACACCCTGAAGAGAATCTATGAGACTTGATCATGTAACCATTACTCATGGAAGCAGACACCCTGGACTTTATTAAGACAATTTACATGATGAAAGGTTGCAGGATAAGGCCCTTAATTCACAGAGATGGTATATTTTCTATCAAACAATAAGCAATATAATAACTGGGAATGCGTTGCCATGGCTTGCAGACAGCTAAGATAAGGATGTTTTATTCACATTAAGACAAAATTGACTGTGATAAAGAACTGCTGATTGTGTCAAAAGAAGAAAAGGCCTCACCCTGCTTCTTGCTGGTCCTCTCCATAGTGCTCTAGCTCTGTGCCTGGGAGCGGCTGCACTGGAGGAGGTGGTAGAGGAACATTGGCCCAGTTAGACCCATTATTTTTCTGGGGCTTGGAAGTATTTTTGTTTTTCTTCTTTTTTCCTCCTTTCCCACCTGCAAAATCAACACACGTTACAGAAATATAATAGAAAAAAATATGTTGGCTTTGTACACTTCTTTGGAAGAATTCTGATTCCAGATGGCATATCCAAAAAAAGAAGATGTATTTATAGCTTAGCAACATCAGCATCGACATGTTAAGGTTGTTTTAAGGTTCTAAATAATAATAAGATGAAATGGGAAAATATTCTACATAATTGCTGAAAATTGCTTCTTTTAAAAATATGAACCCCATAAAACCTCATCACAATGGTGCATAAACTGAATAAGGTAGAAACATAGTTTTTCTTTATCAAAAATATATGTATTGATTTATTCATGTCTGCTTTAAGCCTCCGTGCATTCATTGTTGGAAAAAATAATAGACCACAGCATATTCTTTCAAATGTCAGATTTCAGTGTATTTATAAGACTGTTTTGCATAATCTCTTTCTGTGGAAAACAGAGAGGTTAAGGACACAACCTAAAACTTTGCCATTAGAGTCAATTTCTTTCAGCCAGAATGACAAGCATGGTTGTCAAAACGTAAAGGTAAAAGTAATTGGGTTTCTGCTGAAACGGTATTACCAAGTTCAATTAAAAAACAAGTATCAATGAGCCTTTCAAAATGTTTTAGGAGAGTATGCTTCACATGGCTTATTTTGTAGAAAGCATGCAACTAGCTTGTGGACAATGGGCACTACAATTGGATGTGCAATTCAAAACTGGGAAGATGCAGTTGGAAATGAGGTGGGTAATATTCCTTGCTTTTCTCCCTCTTTTTCCCCCTTTTGTTCCTTGTCTTGTACCCTCTTTCATCCACACTTTCCTTTGCTCTTTTCAAACTTTTTGTGCTACTTCCATTTGAATCACTCCTTGTTCAGTGGAAACCAATCCGTTTCTACACATCTCTTTTTTACTTACTCCTTCCTCTCTACCCTTTTTCTTTCCTTTGTCCTCTCTTTATAGTACAACCTCAAAGATACGAACACCAGAGATAGGGACTGACCAGTCAACCGGACACCATAGGGAACCCAAAATAAGCTATCAGGCAGCAGCAGAGACAAAAACAAACAAACCAGCAAATACAGTGCTGTACTGTATTGCATCTTAAAGGGAGGTACCCTCACCCCCTATTCATCACAATGCGGAGCAGCCACTTATAGGTTGGAGGTGGTGAATGTTGTTTTTCCCTCCCTCTCCCGCTCACCCCTGTCTGGGAGGGGAACAAGCTTGCAAGCTCAGAGCTTGGGAAAGAAACTTCCTGAGCTGCTACTGAAACCTGGCCTGGAGTGCAAGCTGCTGGAGCTGGAGCCCGAGCGCCTGCCTGCACGCTGAGCTCTGGAGGAGCAGCTCAGTTTTAAAGGGCTACAGCCTGCACCGTGCACCCATTGACACTGTGGTGCCCTAGGTTGCCTCACTCATCACCCTTTCAGCCAGGGGGCTAGAATCAGCTGCCTGCCCCCACACCCACTCGCCAGGCAGCCACTGCAGAGCTGTGACCCCCACTCCGAGCAGTCTGCCCTGAGGAGCATCCCATAACGGCTTGGTCAGAGTCACGAACATTTCAGAGTTACAGACAACGTCCATTCCTGAGGTGTCTGTAACTCTGAGGTTCTTCTGTATTTTATTCTCTCTTTCCCTATGGCAAATGCAATTTTGGGAGGTAGGACATGTACAAAAGAGATGGTTGTTCCAATCCCCCTGTCATTCCCCCGCTCCCCCATCCCATGCCACTCTGTTGTCTGATATTCCCGTTCCTATGAGATTACAAGAGAGGTAAATCAGGCATCACTCAAGCCTTTTGTCTCCTGTACCTGCACTGGGTGAGATGCAACCAACAGCATGGCAAGATTTCCATGCGCCTGGCAGAGCCAAAAAACAACAACCCTCTATGTTCTGATCAGTCCTACTCAGAGTGAATTTTCTAGGACTGGTGTGCCAGCATCCTCCCTTGGAACATCAACTATTACTTGTCATCCTTAAACTGTGGTGTTTTCAGGGGGCAATTCAGGGGCTAGATAATGTGGGGGTGTCAGTCTGTCAGTGGAGGTGGATTAAAGATTGTCATAATAGTCTACCAAACAACCCGAATAGTGTTTCATCAATGTGTAATTAGCAGCATCCATCCGAGAAGCCTACAACACAGCTGAAGCCATCAGCATTTCTAGGCCCATCATTAAAATATTTCCCACACATATTTGCCACCATCCCAAATCAACAACATTTCAGATAGCTCCTCTGAATCCCAGCCAAGAGGAGGAGTGGCACTGACCATGACTAAGACAAATAACTTCATGCTATATTTTGCTATCGCAGCGCAAAGACAAGATGCAAGCTAGTCTTCAACCACTTGGAAAAACCTGTGGTTATCGTGGAAGTCATGAGATCCTGAGCAAAACCCAGAAGCATCAACCAGAACAGTAAGTCTATATGATTCCAGTACTGGATTCTTCAAGTAGTCAGTCATCTTGTGGAGGAATCCAGGGGAGTAATAATTCCCATGTTAGTTTCTTGATTCTACAGGAAAAAGTTAAGTGGACCAACCCACATGAGTTCATATTTGGGATGAAGCATCTCCTACAGCAAAGACTAGCTTCAGAAAGCACAGCCAAATCCAGCCTGTCCATCCTACTCTCATGTTATGCTGATCTGAGTATGCAGTTAGGCAAATACCAGCCAAAATAGGGTCAAAGGTCACAATACCACAAGCAAGACAGGATTTCTAAGCCATGATTGAACTGTAGGTGGTGCTGCCAACCATGCATCAAGCGTGCTTGTCTCATCCCAGCAATATGAGCAGAAAACCAGCAAGGGGCATAATGATAGAGGCAGGGTGAGTGCAGCTCAGGTACACCAGAACTTTTCACTTGTGAGGGACAACAGCCCCTTTTGACTAGCTAAGGAGTGGAGAGGCAGTAGAGACTGCCACAGCAATTGGGCTGCTTCTTTATACTGAAGTGCTCAGTCACCTCGTCCCTCTCCTGCAGGCTGCCAAGCTGGGGTTCATTTCACCCCAGCTGGAGGGACGCTGCAGCTGAGACTCCCCATTGTAGCTAGCTCATTTCTGTGCCTTCTCTGCCAGGGTTCCTCCTCTTCTCTCTGGGAGGGTCTGAGAGCTGGTAAGAGGTAGGAGTCTGGTAGAGCTGGGAGGGATCTGAGCTGGTAATTAGGAGTTCTAGCTATGAGACTGGCACAGCAGTCTCTTTTCTTCTTCCCCTCTTTGGAGACAGATTAGGAGGAACTTTCAAAGGAAGGGGCAAGTGTAGGAAAGGAAGACTTTGGAGAACCTTAGTGGGGGGCAGGAAGGAAAATGGGGTAGCAGCGTCATGGAGCAGCTTAAGGAAAAAGGAACTTCCAGGGAATAGATTAAATGCATCCTTGCAAAGGGGAGGATAGAAATGAGGCTGGAGGGACATGGAACCTTGCAAGGACAGGAGATGGACATAAACTGGGGCACCTGAGGCACCTTAGAGAAAAGGGGAACCAGTAAAAGGGGTAACTTTGGTAAGGCAGTGGGGACAGGTAAAAGGAAGAGCTTGGGGGAGGCAGATATAAGGGGCACAACAGGGAGGAAGGAACCTGTGGAAGACAAGAACAAGGAAAGAAGTTGGTGCAAGGAAAGGCAGGGGAGACCTTGAACATTGAGGATAGGCATGGTGTGTGTGTGACCCTAATAACATATCAATGCAAGAGGGCAAGGGGTTCATTGTTATCTGCTAATGTCATAACCTGTATCTAAAAGGTGTCATGTAAGATATCAATAAAACACTAATAACATACTGATCATTAATATTGTTTCATGGTGTATGTACGGAGGACAAATTCAAAATTACAAACATATTGGATACTGTATTATCAAAGTGTGTCTGCCAGGCAGGGCTAAAGTTACCCTACAAAGGAATATGGTTCTGCCACTTTGTAGGTGCTTTCAAGATACAATAAAAGACAACATGAATGTAATTTACATAGAAGGTGCTCAGGACCATTAAGCCAACAAGGGGAGCACTACTGAGCATCACAGCAGGGGGAGAAGATTGCAGTAAACAAATCAATTTGCATTTTAGCAAACACTAGCAGGGGAAGAAACCAGCATGGAACTTCCTTCGCCACCAGACTCCATGTTGCCTTAAATGAACTTTACCCTGGGGGGGGGGGTAACCTTCAGAAAAATCCATTTCCAAGGTGCACTGGACTATAAAAGAGATGGGCAAAGAACGACAAGGGATCTTTCACCTAAGATGACAAAGGAACTGAGCACTTTGGACTTTGTGGGAGATCCTGACCAAGGGGGTGCTTAGCCATCTTTCTGGAAGGTAGATTGGTAAGGAAACTACCTCGAACAGGGGCAGGACATTGCAGAGCACAGAGTTTTGAGAAAATTTGGGACTGGGGGTAGGGGTTGGGGTCATCTTGCCAGATGTAATTACGGCTGGTGGAGGACAGAGTGTGGCAGTGGTGTAACAAGCAGGCTCCTGGAATCAGATTTGCTGAGTCAGAGCTGCTTAACACACAGGCACTCTCAGTGCAGGCTTGTATGCCAACTGGGGACCTGGATAGCAAACTAAAGGGGCATACATGCAGGGAGGGAAGACTTGAATGATTTTGAGAAGAGACAGGGAACTTCAAGAAATGAACGGAGGACAGAATGGGAAATAAGGAGAGAAATACAAGGTTGGTGGGAAAAAGTGGGGGAGGGAGAGAAATAATATGAGGCTTTGAGGAGAATATGACTTGTATGGAGAAAGGGAGGATGTTTGGGGAGAGGGAAGGAGAGTGTGGGGAGAGAACTTGTATTAATGTGCTCCTTGTGGATATGGGCCACGTGGTTCTTTGTGGAAAGGGATTTGTCCTCTCCTCATTCTTTATAAGCAAAAGTACTCCAGTGCCTGATCAGAGGAACAGAGAACTAGAATGTAATGTCTAGTCTAGGTTTGAATATTGTTTCTTACAACTCTTATTTCTCCATTACAGTTAGGCCAGAAATTCAAAGGTCTCTTTACCTTGAATTTCAGTGATTCTACAATCAAATATTTGAATGAATCCAGCCCTTGAACAGAATCTGCCAGTTGGGCTGATTTCAGTACCAACAACACATTTAAAAGCTTTATACTGTCTTCTGATACCTAGCACATACTGACTCATATCTTGGCATAGAAATGTCTGCACTTGAAAATATGCATGGAGAGGAGCTAATTTTCTAAGATACATGTCAATGCACCTCAGATTAGAGAGCAAATACAAACATGTAAAATACCACAGTCTCTTTTTGCCAACACAATAAGCTTATTTCCCCATCTAACTAGAATCAGTTATTGTTTCCCGTAAAATGTGAGAATACTTTTGGCTAGTTAAATTACAGGCCAACAGTTATATCTGTATGAGCTCAACATTTATTTTGAATCATCATTAAAACTGACCTACAGAAACCATTTCTAAAGTTGATTTGTATTGTTATGGTTGCTTCAGTTTATAACAGAATTTCAAAGGTTCAGAAAAAATATGTACCTCTAGTTAAAATCCCTGGAACTCTTTCCTTTTGTGCTTAAATGTAATGACATACTTTCACTTTAAGTGCAAGTTTTTTGGTTTTGTTTTTACTTTAAAAATGGCATAATTTTACAATAATACTGTTTTAACAAAGTCAAAATTAAAGAGTATTTATAAAGAAACAACATTCATTGTTGTTCAGTGAAAATGTGTTATGTTTCCAATATAGCATGCAACACACATATATTATTTACATTATGTTTGTATGCAGACTTGAAACAATTTTTGAAATACCAACCATCTTGAGGATTTGTTTGGACCTGAGAATTTTGCTGTTTCTGGTGGCTCTGTTTATATAAAATTTATAACCTGGCTCACAGGAGTTGGGATCCAATAATGATTCAACAAAAATATTAACCTCTTCATGAGGCTCAACAGAGATAATCTGTACTGTAAAGTGAAGACTGATTTGAGAATAAATTCAATATTGTACTAGAAGGGTGATAATGTTACAAAGTAAGATTTCCAATCATACTGAAAGATACAAAGTCTAGAAAGATTTTCCTATTATCTCTAAATAGGTTTCTTGTGCAGCCTGGACAAATAAGATGTTTTTTGTAAAAGCATGTTTTTATAGACTACAATGACATGTTCAGTGAAGTCTAAATGGACAGACACAACATTTAACTGTAAATTGTGACTGAAGTAATCTCTCTTTCATGGTTATAATCAGGACCACAGAGCAAGCTGCTTACAAACACAAATACTTCTCTTTACACACATTGTAACAAAACCAACCTGAGAGGCTGCCACTTCTTTCTGAGCTGTTGTGAGAGCTGGTGGTGCTGAAATCCTGTGACTGGTTGTGTGGCATTCTATTAGACAATCCCTCAGCCAATCGGTAGTCAGGGATGTAAAGTAAGGCTAAGGGTTAAAGGGCAAAGGTCATAGTGGCATTATGTGATTAGTTTACAGCATAAGCACATGCAGAACATGCAGTTAGCAAGTCAGAAGCAGATGTGGTGGGACTGTGGGAAATGTTTTACCTAGCCTGTCCTAATGGAAATGCAGATGGGCTGCAGATTATGGTCAGACAAAGAGGACTAAAGCACAGAACAATTTATTTTGAGATGGTGTAAAGAACAGTATGCATACAAGGTGCATGTTATTAGTTAAGGTAAATATGAATAATAAATCAAACTACAATTTTCTAATTCATGCACAGAAGATCCAGTATAAACAGACTCAGGAAAATAAGAGCAGGAATCACCGTTGTTGCCTTTGCTTTGGTCTGGCAGAGAGTAACCGAATCCCATGAGGTCAGTTTTTTGCTGAATTGAGCTTTTCCACTGAGGATCAGGTAAGTCGACTGCCAACTCATGGATGCTGTTGGAATGCAGAATCTGCGTGGTGGCATATGGTGTAGCTTGTGTGATTTGGCTGGAACTGTTGTAACTAGTTTTGGTGGTGAAGTCAATGCTGCTGTAAATGGCTCCATCAGAAAGCATAGTGGCAGTTTTATCCCCTTGGCCTGGCACTGGTGGCAGCACATCTGTGGTGAGCACAGGGAAATGGAACAAATCAGTGATGCACAGGAAGCCTGAAACTATCAAGGTTTAAGATGAAAAATAAATGTGTCATTCTGCACGTTTGCATTTCAGCTGAGACAGGGTCCATGAGCCAACGAAGGGAAGATGATGTACAACCATTGCCAAGCTATCAGCATCTGTGACAGGCCTACCACTTGTCCTTCACGTTTCACTGCCTAAAACCATCTTTTTTCTTCCATACCTTCAACTGTGAAAGTGAAGTTTGGAATATTTCACTACTGAAGAATGTTTTCAATTGTTCGTTCTATGTCAGAACCAATGAAACTATCTGGGCTTTAGGGAAATGATGAAAGTTAATCTACAAATCACAGAGGAAACCATCTCCCTGCAAATATCTAACAAAACTACTGAATGAATGCCCAGGCTTCTCAAAGTAATTCTTTTCAGGGCACAAAGTGCATTTTTCTAAAGTTTTATCCGTCAGTTTATCTGGTTTGATTTTAGAACCTAAACAAGACATTTCATCTCAACAATACAGGAAAACTGACATGAATAAGTCATTTCAGAATGTGACAAGATTTCAGCTACACTTAAGAGATTCAGGTGATCAATCAATTATAATGATACAGTACACTGCTGGAAATGGAGAACAACTCAGTTCAAAAACTGTACTATGTATAGATTGAAATTAAACCTTGGAAACAAAATATCTGCTCACTTTTCCACATGCTGAATCATTTTACATATTGCAGAATTATAATTTTAATCCTTTAGATCTAAATTTTTTCTCCTTCCGAAATTTCACAGTGACACTTACTGGCAGAATACAGTAACTCCTCACTTAACGTTGTAGTTATGTTCCTGAAAAATGCGACTTTAAGTGAAACGATGTTAAGCGAATCCAATTTCCCCATAAGAATTAATGCAAATGGGGGGGAGGGGTTAGGTTCCAGGGAAATATTTTTCATCAGACAAAAGACTATATTATATATATATATATATACACACACACACACACAGCATAAGTTTTAAACAAATAATTTAATACTGTACACAGCAATGGTGATTATGAAGGTTGGTTGCGGTGGTGAAGTCAGAGGGTGGAAGAGGGTGGGATATTTCCCAGGGAATGCCTTACTGCTAAATGATGAACTAGAACAGCTGAGCCCTCAAGGGTTAACACATTGTTGTTAATGTAGCCTCACACTCTACAAGGCAGCACAAATGGAGGGAGGAGAGACAGCATGGCAGACAGAGACTCTCACCTGTATGTGTGTGAGAGAGAGATGTGCATTGTCCCTTTAAGTACGCTGACCCCACTCTAAGTACATTGCCTTTTAAAGAAGATCAGCAAGTTGAGACAGCCCCTGCTGCCAGCAAGCTCCCTCTGTACCTGAGCCCTGTTGTGTCTCCCCCTGCTCTATGGAGATGGAGTTAGCAGGGTGCAGGAGCAGGGGGGACATTAGCCCCCCTCTTACCCTCCCCCTTGTACAGCAAGCAGGAGGCTCCCGGGAGCAGCTCCAAGGCAGAGGGCAGGAGCAGCACATGGCAGTGGGGGGAGGGACAGCTGAACTGCTGGCAATTGATAGCCTGCTGGGAAGCTGTCGCACAGGGAACTTAGGGGATTGGGGAGCTGATGGGGGGCTTCTGATCCCCCTGGTTCCAAGCCCCCACCAGCTACCTCCAACGGGCTGCTCTTTCTGCAAGCAGTGGACAAAGCAGGCAGCTGCCAAACAACGTTATAAGGGAGCATTGCGCAACTCTAAACGAGCATGTTCTCTAATTGATCAGCAACGTAACAACGAAACAACATTAACCGGGATGACTTTAAGTGAGGAGTTGCTGTACTAGATTTAAATGTGAACACCTCTGAAGTATGAAAAAGTGCCTGGAAGGTGACTGGTACAATGGCACAGGCAGCAACACTGCTCAAGTTTATGATACTCTCTCAGAGCCAAGTATTTAAAAAATGGCTCTTTTTCTAATTTGTTTAAGATCAAAAAAGTAGTACTCAGTGTGGAATCCAACTGATGGAAAACATGCGAACACCCTTCTGCTTTATAACATGACTGCCAGCTACTGGACATGGACTCTGACTATAAAATTTGAATAATAATAATTATGAATACTCCTAAATTCAAAATGCTCAGATCTGGGGTTTTGGTTCAACGCATCGTAAAAATCAGGGTCATTTGTTGTTTTTTTGGGACTATTTCCTACTATGTGTATGTCTATACAGCAACTACCACAATGGGACCCTGACTTTGGTTACAGCCTCTAGACACTAACATAATATAACTAACAACTACTATTCTGGGTTCAAAGGTCAAATATGGACAAATTGAGGAGATTTTGGAAATGAGGATTTGGTTTGGGCTCATCTGTATTTTCAACTTTTGCAGGCACCAGTGAAAGGATTTAGATGTCAAATGATCTATTTGGTGAGGCACAATCAGGTATATAAAATGGCTAAATTCTAGCACGACTACAGATTAATTACGGGCACAGAAGTGAGATATAATCAATGAAGAGCACATATTGCAAAACGAGAGTTATTTTTTCAAAAATCAGGCAGTTAGCATCTACTTACATGGGTCTAATGTACTTTCAGTGTTCAGTTTACAGCTATAAAGATTTTTTTTCTAACTACCAGCCCTGCGCAAACAGCCTGAGATCTGAGAGTCAAGCTGGGTCCTATCTGGCTTGTGTACCATCACCAATAATAAAGATCAGAGGGGTAGCCGTGTTAGTCTGAATGAAGTGGGCATTCACCCACGAAAGCTTATGCTGCAATACTTCTGATAGTCTTAAAGGTGCCACAGGACCCTCTGTTGCTTTTTACAATAATAAAGAGTCTACCTTGCCTCAGATGGTTCCATGAAGGTGCAATATATTAAAAATTAGTAAACAATTTTGTTAATGATGTACAACAATAATAGAATCCAGCTTAATCAGCCTGTGTTGGCTCTGCTGCAGGGATGTTAGGAGTAAAAAACAGCAAAATATACTTATCTCTGACATAATCAGACATAACTCTAAATATATGCACAGAGCAGATCACTGCTGAATAAGGTGGTGCCATTTTTATACAGTCACTTTTCAAAGTAGAATTGCGCTTCACTGCAAATTTTATAATATGGGGATCAGTGTGCACACCTCCCTGGTACTTGGAAATTGTCACTTTGTCTTACTACCAGCGAAGCAAAAGTTTCCCATAAATATTAGGAATTTTCAATAGAACTATTTCTTTTAAATTGATTGTTTTAGTTCAATAAAATGCACATGCTGAGCACATGAATTATTAAATTGTCAACTCACAAAGTAATTATATAGTAAAAAATCAAGCACTACCACAGCAAGACTCATATCATTCAACTATACCTCTTGTGGAAAAGCCTAAAAAAAGAAATGAATTTTGCACCATGTTGTTATACTCAAAGAGGAAAGTATATTCCAGAATCAAGGTTTCTCTGTTGAAAACACTCCAAATCCTAACCTGCACTGCAGATCCTCATGTAATTGAGACAGTCTTGGAGTCCTGTCTGAGTTATAGCAGCCTCTTCAGCCTGCCGTATGGGGCCAAAGCAAATATTTGCAGCACTCTGTGATATGGGCCTGCCCCCAATATGTCCCTCCCACTTGGCACCTTGCCCTGGCACACCTGCTACACCAGAGATTGCAAGGGGATTCTTGTAAGGCAGCCTTAAAGCCATCCTTCACAGTTCCTACACATAGAAACCCTCCTCTGGCCACATCCAAGATGTCTAGAGACCCTTCATGCCACGCCAGAGTGGGGGAGTGAGTATCATCCTCTGACTTCAGCCTCTAGGGTTCAAATCAAGGGACTGATACCAGAAGCATCAAGTTATGAATGCAATTTAGCTGCTAAAATTGACAGAATAAATGTTATGTCCTTCTGATGAATCTGGCCTTCAGCTCCATCACCATTGAAGGCAAAAATCTCTAAAAGCTACTTCCAGTCTTGGGGCTTATAGAGCCAAATGCTGTGAGAAAATGTTAATTTTTTGTACTATGGGTGCTCATGTAAAGATGTGGAAATGCTGAAGAATCATAGTTTCAGGGCCTCTGCAGTCAAGAAGCTGGCAGATGTATGTATAATACTACCACTGTCCTCTTAATATTATCTATAGACATGCCCTCTTTTACACCACTTTTGTAAGATCAGCACTTAAAGATAGCTTTGCTATATTGAAAGTTAACATAGAGTGTTTTAATGCAGTTCAGCGCCATAGTGTAGTATCAGAGAGACAGAGTCTGTTATTCAACACAACAAAGTGTTACAAACAAGTTAAGAAGTGATTCTCCAGATGGGAACTTTGACACACTTTGGTTTATTTCTGCTTCTATTTTTCCATCATTTTTTTAACATTAGAAATTCAGGTCTTTTTTACCTTGGAAGGCTTTATGGCGACAGGAGAACTGGTAGGATTATGACATCACAGAACCAAGGAAGTGAGAGGGGATGTGATTATTATTCAGCATGTTTAAAACTCAGTCTTTTGTTTTTTTTAACACCTTTTTGACTAAAACACTTGAGAGAAAAGCTCTCTTTGTTAACGAGTCAACACTCAAAAGTAATGATGCCTGAGACCTTCCAAAAGGGCTTCCAATGAAACCACAGCACAAAAAAGACCCTAAAAAATTCAAAGAGCTCCCCTCTCCCTACCCTTCTCCTCAACAACCCCGTCACTCAAAAAATCTTTGAGGCTTTCTTTATATATTATGGCCCTGAGTGAGAACAGCCCTTCAATGAGGCTGTGCAAGGGTAGAGAGTTGAGCAACAAGATTCCTCCTCTGTGGAGATGCTCAAAAGCTGCTCACAACTGCCATTCCTAAGTTCCTTGCTCACTCCTGCTCTCCCACAGGACCCATTCCTCCAAAAGGGGTAGAGAAAGAGGTGAGGATATTTCCTTGTCCCCGCTACACCATCCTATAGGGCTGATTGCTCATCCTCATACAGGACTTAAATAAGAGTATTTCCAAGAGCCCACCACATCCCTCCCATTCTCTGTGGGAGGTGCCAGGACTCGGGGCTTCAGCCCCCACGGTGGGCACAGGGGAGGTGCTGGGGTTTGGGGGTTTAGCTGCAGGGCGAGGGGGTTTGGGGCTTTAGCCCTGTGGGGCTAAAATATTTACCAGCGCTTCACTCTGGACAGCTCCAGCTGAATTTAAGTCCTGCCCTCATACGAAAGGAGCAGCACCTGGAGAATATCTTGTGTGCTTCCTCTGAGGTGATGCTGCTCTCTGGGCTATAGCTTAAGTCACTATCTAGCCCTATGTTTAAAGAAGCAGAAAATGGGCACAGACATAATTCTATTTTCTTTACAAGTCACCTTTAAAGCAGATGAACATTTCATTTTGAGTCAACCATAGTACACAGAAAGAACTGTGCTTTTTACCACCCTGACATAAAAATAATTTGTATATAGTACTTATCACAGAGCTTAACAAACATGAAATAACTAATTAATCCTCAACACTCTGGTTTGATAGGAATTGTTATATTCCCACTTAGCGTTTTAATCTCTATGACTGAAGTGCCTAATTTGCCACAGTAAGAAGTAATACTGAAATTAAAGTAATAACAACAATGATTTTACAGACTGGGGAAATGAGAGAGGTGAAAGTCAACATTTTCAAGAGTAGTCTCTGATTTTGGATGCTAAATTGACACGTTTGACCTGAATTTTAGAACTGCAGAGTACCCACAACTTCAGATGAAGCCAACGGAACCCGAGGCAGCTGAGCATTTCTAAAAATCAAGTCTATGTTGAACTCCCAAATATCAAGGTAGCCAAAATAAGAGACTAGTTCTGAAAGTTTTGGCTGTAATGACTTGCTTCTGGCAACACAGTCCGTTACAGTTCTGGGGTGGGAGTCAGGAGCTCCCGGCTCCAAGTTCTACACTCAGACTGACAGACCACACCTCACCTCTCTCCCCTTTCTCTACTATTGGTGTTTCTATGATAGATTTAACAATATGAGTAGGACATATAAGGACTGGAAATAGTGATCTAAAATGCTGATAAAACCCAAACATTACTAATTAGCAGTGTTGTTATCCTTTAATGTATTGTACCAGGTAGCAATTTTACAGCACTGCTAAGGCTCTTTGATGAATAACCTCCCCCAATATATATATGCACGTGCACAAAACAGAACCCAATATGAAAAACAAACTAAAGTGAAAATAAAATGCGTTATTCACTGCATGATGACATGACTCAGTAAAACCCACCTCCACGACCAAAATTCCCAAGATCGTTGGGTCCACTAGTGCTGTTGTTTACTGGCAGACTGGTGGCAGGCCAAGAGTCTGCAAGCCAAGGATAACTGGGGTCACTTGCATTCAACAGACCTGGTCGACTGAAGCAGGATGAAAAAAAAAGGAAATGAACATGAAAATATGTCTGTCGGACAACTCTGGACAAGATTGTGATCGAAGAGATTGTATCATTTTTCTCCTGCCACAGTATGTAATAAACAGTTTAGGAGACTTCAATATATTTCAAATTAAAATTGTGTAGGCTTTCATGATTTAAAGACCTTCAGCAGTTAATTAAGGCTGTATACAAAATAACTTTGGCAGTTGAAATGGAACTAGGCATCAGTCGTGATTCTGCCAGAATCCAAATGAACTCTGTTGTCTGTCTGAAACAGGGAGTAGGCTGTATCACTGAAGGATTCTAAACAAGGGTTGAATGATAAATTGCCACTTCAAGGGAACAATCACTCAAAATGACTGCTCTGTATCAGCCATTTCCAGGACTTTGGGCTACTATTTCTTCACTCCTTGAATCCCAAATGTACATCTGTCATCTATAGGCTGGTAGCTCTTTCTTTGAGTACTCTTGTATAGTTTAGAGGAAAATAGGTTTGAGTGGGATTAATGGAAAGTTCACAACAGTATTTTTATCTGTGACTACAGCATGCTTTCATAGTTTTGTAATATTAAACTTCGAGAGCTGTAGTCTGACTTGGATATCTCAAAAAGGGAAGGGAACTTTGGCCATAAGAAACTGCACTCACTAAGCAAAGGATAAATAATGTGGCCCTATCCTGAAATTCAGCATGGCAAATGTGGCCAGCGCTTTGTGTTTTGCAAGGAAAATCAATCTCTTAACATGAAAACCACAGTTCTGAAGGTTTTCCGGATTATTAGCACACTTATGAGGAAGAAGCAACATTTATAATCATTGTAGTTTTTCTGATAGACCCCTTCTGGTACAATCCCTAAGAGAAACATGGGTTTCTATGGAAACGGCAATAAGAAGATCCAGCAGTTTTCTTGCCACATCCACTAGCTCTCATTAGGCCTAATCTCTTTTTGCTAAAATATTGATTAAATGGGAGATTGGAAGTTATTACCAGGGCCTAATTACAGTCTCCATATTGGCAAAGAGAAAATAGATGAGGATATATGGGTTTGTTATCAGCTTTTATCAATTTCAATTGAGTAGCCAAAGTTGTGGAATCCAGTTCCATCAATCTACAACCTATTTATCATCCATGAATCATTTATTTTGTGATCGATTATGTGTAATTGTTCACTCACAGCAATTTAGTGGGAGCCAATAAGGAGTCTTAAACAACAGCAACTTCATTTGCTAATGTCTAATTAATGCAATAAACATCCTGGTAACAAATGAACACATTCCTTGTGATATTTACTACTAATTTCTTCTTGGGCATCTGGGAGATATGAAACATCTGGACTTGATTCCTCTAAAGTGCCCAACAGATAGATCATTAAACCTTGTGGTAAGCCATTTAATTCCTCCTAGACTTGTCAGTCTTATAAATGATCTTTTATTATAATAGTCCTTTATCTATAGAAAAGTTCAAGTTCCTAATCAAAAAGAAAATAGGATGGAAATAGATCTTTTTAACAACAAACCTACCTTCCATTGCTCATTAGTCCTCCATCTCCTCTTTGAAAAGTGACTGTTTGGGTTTAAAAAAAAAAAAACACAAGAGAGGAAAATAAAATCAGTTAGTAATAATTAGTAATAAAAAAATCAGAGTTTTCTTCACTCAAGACTAAAACCTCTGGGCATCATAACAAAATATAATGCAGCAGTTCCAAGAAAGAGAAACATGCCACATTGAGAGCTTCCACTGGACAGATTTAAATCAATCTGCCCTGTAGCCTGTACGCTAAAATTGCAGGATGGCTAAAGAATCCTGAATTTACTATTGGTCCTCTGACATGACTATGTTGTGTGAGACTACATCAGGTGGTGAAATTGTGTTTTTCTGGAATGCTTCTGCTTCAGTATATAATGACATTATACCGGAATGTTAATGACATCAGTGTCATGATGCAGCAGCATAATGCCACCACACAAATATTTTGTCCCATAGGATAAATGCAAAGAGGTGGCAGTCCCGCTAGAATTATAGTGGAGGAAAAACAAGTATAAATCCTATCTCACTTCTCTCACACATTCAAGATAAAAACATCACACACACAAACGCAAATACATCAACATAACATGGGGGGAAATCCCTTCAGTCTTTCCCTGAAGGATGCCAAGGATACACTTTGAAGTACATGAATTGTATTAGAAATCCAAAAATGGATCCTTCACAGAAAAGTCCCTGCCCCCATTGTATATTCACAGGGGTATATTTCAGGATGGCCCACAGTTGTAAACCACATTTCTCAGGAGCTGCTTTCGAACATAGGGCAATATAGGTGGTTCTATATTGTGGTCCTATGTTATTAATTCCTTTATATACTAATTTTAAGCCAACCTTTGCTGCAAACTTGCTGAACAGCAAGTGCAATTAATGCACTGTAGAAATCACTAGGTATTATGAAACAAGGCCAATGAGCAGACCTGGTCCTTCAGTGGCAATAATCTATTAATGATTTTCAGAGATCATTCCAATTAAAGTGCCCTACAGCAGACTATTTTAGTGGTTCAGCCTGGATCCTGAAGATCGTGGACAAAATCCACATCTATGAATGAAGATTGCAATTTCAGATGGAAAGAAGCTCTATGGTCAGCTTAGTTAAAAATAACCTCCAAATAAGGAATTCTGATCACCTTCCTAGGGTAGCCATCTTCATCAATAAATATACAGTCACCAAAGCATTTGCAAGGTTCTCCAGCTGTTACCCCCACCAACCCAGAAATACCTTTGTTGTATCTAGGCTGACTTTAACCATCTCTGTCAGATACTGCACTCTCAGCAAGATAACAATACAGCACCAAGATGGAAATGCCATGATTAGCAAAGAAGTTGACATACATCTGGATAGCAGCAGCATATTGGTGATACCTCATATTTTGCCAATTTATTAGTTCTCTAAGGGGCTTCGCAATACACATTTAACAAAATTTAATGGTGATCAAACTAACCCCTTTGGAATCTCATATGGAAGGGCTTTTGGGGTTGATGATTAATTATCCATTACCACAGAATGGACTACTGATTCTGCTGGAAAGCCACTGTAGTTCTATTTCACATCAGACTATTTAATAGCTGTATTTTGAAAGAGTTAATCTGAAACAATTAATGAAAAGAAAATTGAAACCGTGGGAAGTATTAAACAAAAACCTGCTTACAAAACCACCACATGCTAAAAACATTGCAGCTAATTAGCTCTTGATCTGACACTACTTTCCAGTTATGTTACTTTTTAATGGACTATCAAGTGATTGTATCACTCTCTGCAAAAAGTGAATAAGCTAATGCTAAAGAGCTGTGGATATCATTTGTGAATATGCAAATAAATGGGTGCTGTCTGGCTATGTCTCAAAACATGTTGTTAAGAAATGTATCAGTAGAAGCTAATTTAATGTTCTTTTTCTTCCACATCCTCAATTTCTTCCAGACGTTCTATCTCTGTCAAAGCAACAAAGATATAAACCCAGAAACAGACCACTAATGTATTCAATAATGAACTTTCTGAATTTGGTTTGGTATTTTATAGGGGGCTTCCAGGATAACATAGTCTACATTGAAACTAATTTCACACCTGAGATGAATATGTTTGTTTAGGCTACAGACTAATATTAACATTTTAATTTTAAAGGAAATATTGTCACTCTGTGTGTGTGAGAGAGAGAGAAATTTTAAATATGACAATGGGGAAAAATAATATTTTTGGTCACCTACATATTTATATTTGTAGGACTCTCTAGCATAGCTAGAGGGGGGAATACAGAAGGAGAACACACCAACAACTGTCCCTAGAGGCGCTCTACTTGCAGAGCCATGAAGTATGCAGGATACTTCTGAGCATGCTGGGGAGCGCATCATGAGAAGACGTGCCTCCTACACTACGTGTATTAAGCTGTAGTTGATCTCCGCAGGCCGGCAGTAGTCTGCTGGCTCAGAAGACGGGCGGATGCCACCACTCTGCCCCACCTTTGGGGTCACTAGCGTCTAGTGGTAACCCTGCCTTGTCCTTGCGCACAACCTCACTTTCTGACCATCCAATAGACCATCCCCTTGTGCTTTAGGGGAGAGATACAGCTAGGTATTGGCTGAAAGAGAGAAACCCATCAGAGAGAAACAGCTATGGCAGTGTTATTGTTTTTTTATGGGCCAGGTTGTGGCTGGGCATGCGTAGGTGCATGTGGCTTGGAAAGAGGACGCTCCTTATGCTTGCTTCCACTTTGCACACTGATGCAGGAATGGCTACAACCTTCCCATAATGTGGAACAAGAAAATATCACAGTCACTGTTCTTGTTCGACAGGCTCTGTCTGATCAGCTAAACTCTCCAATCCAAGGCTGTAGATCTTTTTTTGAAACCCGAGGACATTACTGGCAGATCACAAAATCATTTTGTATTTCTCAGATTTGCAGGAGCACATCCATTTCTCTAAGAGTTAACAAGAAGAAGGAAAAGGCAGCTAACGGCACAAAAGACATGGTCAGGCTGCCAAAATAAGCACTTTGTTTATCACTCCTGTCATATGTTTTGTCAGCATTTTTTGCCTCCAGTTTGATTTCTGAAATTACAAAACAGGTCTAAATGCTGAAAAGGAGCATAGTTAGTGCAACTCAGTCTTGTAGATGTCAATGTAAAATAAAATGCCCAGACAAGCTGGCTTTATTCAGGCTGTCTCCATTTCAAATCGATGCTGAACAGTCTCAAGGGGCAATGGGGGAGGAGGAAGAGGAGGGTCTCTCTAACTCTAACCCAACCCATCTTCTCTTGCCTTTTATCACTGAGAAAGCATGAAAGGTCTTTCAGCATTATCTGTATCTCATATATGTCCTTAGAATGGTTGAAGTCCTGCATTAGGTGCCAGGAGGAGACTGGCTTTCAAAAGAAGATGGGGGGAAAACAAGAATAGTGATTTCTAAGGGATTCTCACCAGACTATACTGCAAGAACTGCAAAAATGCAGAGTATACTCCAAAGTGCATTTAAACTGCATACAATGTAAAGAAATTATATTATATAAAGAAAGTATATATTTGTATGAAGAAGAGTATATGTTAAAAGAGCTTTTGCATGTTTTTTTAAATATATAAAGAAGTACCTATGCTATTTACTATTATTATCTGACAAGGTTAAACCTAATCTTCATGCCTGCTAGAACTGGAAAAAAACGAATATATAGTAAGTTGACATTTTAAGGCAAGAAGCTTCAGAAAGCTTTCTATGTGCCTATCTCTAATAGGCCACATTTTCCTGCCACAAATGAAAACTTTAATGTTGCCAGCCAAGTCTCATTCCTTTTCCTGATAAGCTGTTCCTCAAATATGAATGTGGATTAATCCTCTTTTAATAAGCATTAACTCAGAACAGATAATCAGTGTATAAAAATTCCATCAACTCTTCTGCCTGCCTTTGGATGATTCTGTCAAATAATTTATACTCCTCTAACAATTTTACGAATTATGCATGAAACATTTAGAATGCCATAATTTACTGTTTTTAATTTGTTTATATTTATTAAATTTCACAAAATCTTTAATCCCTTAGGGCACTAGTCACTAAATAAGCTTACCTACTCATAACTGAACATACACATTTACTTTCCTTGCATGGCTGATGGCCTGTGCATTCTTGAAAACACCTTGAGTATTCAAGTGAGTGGTTATTGGCACACCAATGAGTCAGAGGACACATGAAAGATACATGGATATATGGAGTCTCTCTTGTTTCTGCACAGGAATTATGTGAATTTACTGTACAGAAACCTGTGTAGAAATGTGATGACACATTTGTAACTTTCCCTGCTAAATGAATCAGTTCTGTTCCAGAATTGTAATGGATGGGCGTGAAAGAACTTGCATATTGTACTAGAAGGGATATCTGTTTTGTGCCAGCTCCCCTTCTTTGTGCCATGTGCAAACCTGTGTTGCATGTTTGTATCTGGGGAATGTGAGTAGAGGGTGAACATGAAAAACAGGAAATTAGTGTATAACTCAGTTTCAGTGTGCATAGCAGCAATTTTGCTCTTCTAGAGGGTGTCAAATGTGCACAGACATGTCAGGCCAAATTGTCCTCTACAATCTGCACTGCCAATTGCTAAATAAGGAATAAATCATGCATTTGTGGTTCTGACAGACCCCTGTGTCCAGCTTTTGTTTTGCTGATACACTGTCATCTTCCAAGAATATATATTTAACCCACTGGTTCCGGTTATGTCACTACTGCTTCCCAGCTAGTGGAGTCACTTATTTCACTCACATGATAGACACTCATACCTTTAGTGCTTTAAGTCTCATGTTCAATCCCTGCTGATGAATCATGCAGGGGTGGGGGGAGGGGGTGTTATTACAAGTGGTGGCCTGTGACCCAGAAGGCTACATACATATTACAGCTGTTCCACTGTAAATAACCAAAAAGCATGTATAAAGTCATATTATTCATTATTTGTGAATATGTGAAAATGTTCACAAATCCAGAAAGTTACCTAAGTTTTAGCCCAACAGATTAATCTTCCCCAGCCCAACTATGTAGCAGCAGCATTTCATTTGCTATTTATTATTTTTCTGATTAAAATATGTCAGTGATTCAGTCATGCAGCAGAAACAATACCTTTCTGATGGCCAATCACACAACGTAAATAGCAAATAGTCCAAGTGAACAATTCACAAACTTCCCACAGTCAGAAAATTATCAGTTCAAATATTTAGCAAATATTTTCAAATAATGAATACATACCATTTAAAAAAATCAGTGTCAATTTGTGAATAATTTGCAAATAGAGTTGGAAAACAAAAGATTGTCACAAAAAAATGAAAAAAATATTCTTCCTTCTTTTGTTTGTTTTTTCAAAACTTTCCAACCAGTTCTATTTATGAAGCAAAGCAAAAATCTAAATTTATCACAAATATACATAATGAACAGTTTGACCAGTACTATTACATATTCAGATATTCATATTATATGTATTCATGAAGGAAGCAGATGTTTGGCCTGAGCAAAAATGTGCTTCTTTCACAAACAAATATATTAGGATAAATTCACCTCCAATGTAACTTCACTGAAATTCACCTCTGATGAAGGTGAATTTGGTCCTAAGCCTGCCTAAAAATGTAGGCCTGGAATCTATTTTAGCATACATGGGTTACAACTGACTATGGAAGGAACAACCTATAGACTTGAGTCTTCTCAGATCTATACAAACAGGGAGGTGTTTGGCTAAGTGAAAATTTAAACATTTTGTGACTGTAGATCATATAACCAACTCCAAATTCATGCTGTCAGGAACTTGATGTGGATTTGAGACTCTTCTTGGGGAACTCAGTGCCTGGACATAAATCAGTAGATTTTGCTAATCTCCAAATGCACTTTTGTGCTAATTGTGACCATGGGTCAGATTTTGATCTTTGTTCCCCCAGTGTAAATGGACTTCATTGAAGTAACTCTGGATTTACTCATTATGAGGGAGATCAGCATCTAGCCCAATGTGTTCAGAACACACATGAGTTAAGTTACTGATATACGGTAGTATGTGATTAGGGTTTAAAGCATTCACGTTGTGCCTCCCAATGAAATGAGAAAAGCATTTCAGGCTGTGGTCACTGTCTGTCAAGCTGTGCCACGCCTTACTCTTATCTGAACAAACATGCCAATAGTGCTGTTTTGGCTAAGCCATTCATGAGTTTTCAAACCTTCTCTTTGGTACAGTTGTTCCTAATAACGATATAAGGATTGTGTGGGCAGGTGGTATCACCTCCTCCTCCTCCTTGTCACACCTCTCTCAGCAGCCAGCTGTGCCCTCCTGCTGAGCTGCATACAACTCCAGAGATGGCTGAAAGGTAGACAGAGCTGGAGAGAAGCAGCAAGAAGGGAACAGTGGAAGGTTCCAATGAGCAGCAGGGAGAGGAGCTAACTGTACAGGGAGTGCAGAGAATGAGCATAATGTGAGCAATGGAGAAAGGGGGGGACCCATTAGCACAGGGGGAAAGAGGGAGGAATTATGGTAGGATAAGCAGAAGCACCATTTTAAAGGTCTGTTTTCAAGAAAGCCAGGAGTCTTGGGCTGCTGGAGGATTCTTGGTGAGTTTTAGGTTGCTCTACTCCACTTTTTATTGCAACTTTTTGAAGAGAAAATAACCTAAAATTCCCTGAGAGGCATGCACGGCCTACTAGTAGCTGGGAGACCAGTGGCCCACAAGCCCCCAACTTATTTGGAAAAATGTCCCTTGTCAAAATTCTTGGCATTTGGCAGGTATGACTGAGAGGTGTACTACATGCCACAAAATGTTGCACACTTATACTGGAAAACATTGAAATACATTGGCTACGTACACTGTAGTGCATGGGGATAATGTAATAATTTTTGGGATTGTGACACTCATGCTTAGATATGAGAATTGAGGTCAATTATTTGTATTAATTATTACAATTAACTGGATACACTGTATCTCTTGACCATACATATGTTGGCAAAGCTGTTTGCAACCTGCTGTTTCAGCCACAGTTCGTTTATTCTTCACATAACTTTAATCACACTCATGATAATGGCCTACCGTATGTTACGCCTTGTAAAAAAACGATAACATGAAGTTGGTTGTGGATTGGACAGGCAGAACAAAGGCAAATGCTTCAATGAATAAAGAGCTTTAAAATGCCTTAAAGACCTACCTAGTGTATCAGTGTGTGTGTATGGGTTAATCACTGGCTAGGTTTGACATAAGTGCAGATCTGAAAACCCCATGCAGAGGCAGATTCATGTAAAGTGAAGAGTGGAATCTGGGATAAGTTCTGCTTCTCTGGCCAGGTGCAGAGGCCTTCAGAAATTTGCAAGTTAAATACATGAATACTCAAGAGCAAAATTTGGCCCTTTGTGACTAATGCCTATCTATCGTAGTTATGTTAGTTCAAGCATTGCCCTGAAAATTACCTTTCAAAATTGCATAATTTAGAAGGGTTGGATGAGTAAGAAGTATGCAGAATTATAATGAAAGAGAAGTTAATTGTGGTAGATTGTAACCTTCTTCTGAAATCACTAGCAGAGTCAATACCACATTATTATAACAGATGGGGAATGGGAGTGTTTCTCCTTGCACTTGGTTTTAATTCTGTATACCTGCTATGATTATAAAGACTTATGCTAATGATTGCAATGGCATGTTGGTGAGGTAAGAGACAGACTAATGGACAGTACCTGCAGGGGTGAAGGTGAAGGACTGAACTGCAAAACAAGAAAGCAAACACATCGTGAGTTACAGACCCTGATAACAAGCACTAATTGCAGGGCACAAGGTTCCGTTGGAAGTCACTCATCTATAGTTTAAAATCGAAAGCAGGTTATAACAATTGAGCTTTAAGCACTAGTCAGCCAGCAGCCAATGAGAAATAAAGGTTGAAGAAAGGTGAATAGTGAATTTTGACAATTACATTTGATGGAAGTTAGTTCTGAGGTGGACATGCTATCCTCCTTATCATAAATATTAGGATGAGTTCTGAAACATGATGTCGTACGAGCTTTCATTGTTAAGAGCATACAGCATTTCACAATTCTGATAATGGTCATTCTGTGTCACAATGCAATGTTCACATAACGTTTAGGTGCTGCAAACGTCATGAGAAAGAATGAGCTACATTAGACAACAGCCTATGGTAGTCAATTTAAGCTGCATTTTTAAAGTATAAAAGACTGCTCACAAAAATGTGCCATGTCAACTCACATAGACATAGGCCAAAATCCCTTCTCTGGAAAAATGAGGCTTAGTATGCATTTAGTTAGTGCATCTGAAGTACATGAAAAGGTATGACACCTCCAAAAGGAAATGAGACTACTAAAATCCTGATGTGTTATCAGTTTAATGTAAGAAAGTGATAAAATAATGTAACTATCCCCTACTGTTAATTATCCTCATTAGATAGACTGATAGATAAATCTGTATCTATCTGCATGAATTAACAAAACCTCTCAGAGTAGAAACTGTCATCACGTATATACTCATTATTAATTACAAGGAAAGAAAGAAAACATCATGTGCAAACAGCACAGCCTACAAATAATGTTACTTCACCACTGTGGTCACTCAGGCTCACTCTATAGAATTAATAAGAAATCAACCAAATTTTTGAGTGAGTTTAGCCTGGCATGCTAATATTGCCAGCAGTAAACATGCGTGAATTGCCAACCGTGCTTAACCTGGGCCAAGTCATGAAAGGTCTTTTCCTCCTTGAAACCAATAATGTGCTAAAATTAATTAGTATATTGGGCAAGGAAACTAGCTGGAAAATACCTCAATATTTTAAGAGTTATTTTTCATGTAAAATTGGTCAAAAGTTGGAGGTGGTTTTTTTTCTTGGTTTTTTTTTTAATAGGTTCGTATGTAATTTTATTATAACTATCTGACTTCTCCACAACCCACAGGAAACTTGAGATATATCAGCTATAGGAGTGTTACCAGTCCTGACAAAACAGAATAAAGAGATCTGACGGGGAAAATACGAGAATTTTTATTTTTATTTTCCCCTTCCAAACGTAATTCTCTGAGGCTAGATTGTGACTGTAGGCAGAACACTGAGCAAAATGTGTGTGTGAGAGCTGCACCACACTGCTGGGGTAGCTCCAGGAGGCATTGTGCTTCATAGACACGTCTGAGACCCTACTTCACACCCACTGCAAGTAAGTAATTTATTGCTTGCCTATACCAGCACTAAATTATTACTTCCCCTGTACAGGCTCAGCTACTCTCACCAGTGAGTTGGGGTGGATGGAGCCAATGCTCTGCCCATTCCCCTCTCCTTCCTTCCTCCTTATCTGGAGCTGGGGGCTGAGGGAGTGGGTGAGTAGCTCTGCTTACTTGTATGTGCCTAATAGGGTGACCAGATAGCAAGTGTGAAAAATGGGACAGGGGATGGAAAAAGCCATGAATATTGGGACTGTCCATATAAAATCAGGACATCTGGTCCCCCTAGTGCCTAAACCCAAAGTCTGGGGCAAACATAGGAGTAAAGTGGTGAAGTTGGTGGGGGATTCATACTCCCTCTTACTGTCATGTGGTTATATAGTCTGGTTCGCAATCTAGCTCATAATTAGAGTTGGGAACACTGAAAGACTGCCTTTTGCAACAAGAGTTGGGTGAGAGGTACAGTTAATCCTTTCTGTACTTTTGTTATACTAGATGTGCTGGAGATGTAAAAGACTGTCTTACAGTAATGATGAAATGTGGTCCAGAGCAATGCATTTAAAGCTTCTCATACACTGGCACTTTTACAGCACACGTTAAACAGGCATACGGCATTCATCCATTCCACCTTTATTTGTAAAACCAGCATTGTTAGGGTTGGGGTTTTTAAATTAGTTCTAATAGCACCTGTCCTGTTCATGGTAGAACCTGACAAGTTTGTAGTAAATAGTTACTGTTCTTACCAGCATAATTGCTCAGCCCCTTCCTCTTCTTTCTTCGCCAATACAGCCAGATGCTGAAACCCATCAGAATTACCCAGCATGCCCCACCAATGCCAGCAATAAAAGCAGGCTGCTTGACAACATCAGTGATTTGCTCAGTTATGCTGTTGTTATTTTCAGTGATGACAACTTCGTTACGACCTCCTGCACAAAGGAAAGTCAATATCACATGTTTATAATGTACTTGTAATGCAACCAAGAACCAGAGACCTGAAATGGAAAAGAAACAACAGTACTGTGCTTCAAAATAATTTTCCATGGTGGGGTACAGGTAGTTGGGTGTGGATTTATAGGGTGTTCAAACACAGATTTGAAGGCAACGTTTCCTGCAAGAGAACCTACAATTCATTGCAGTTATTCAAACATATGTTGAAAAAAAATCTACTATACTACTGTCCCTGTAAGCTAACAGATGGCAGCTCACAGTCAATTTTTGTGAAATATTCTTGATATGGGTATAAGCAGAATACCACAAAGAGAGACAAAGAGACAAAGTGACAAACACAGACTATATGCTGTCTTGATTGTATCTAATGATTTGGAATTTATTGACTTCCTGCATATGTCCCATTTTCTTTCTCCTGATTTTAAAACTGAACTGGTAGCTCAGTATCTGGCTTGATAACAAGCCCCTAATCTAAACTGTTATCTGTGGATGGACGTCACACAAATGCCAAAGTGTGTAGCTCCAGAACTGACAAACACTGTGATTGCTCAGTTATTAGAAACTCTCTTCAAAAATACCACACCTCTCCAATCTGAGCCACAGACTCAAAAATTCAGCAGTTATAAAAATATGAAAATCAGATAACATTTTCTACAAAAAATATGAATAGTAACCTTGTACATGTTTGGTGTAGAACATCTTACTCGGTGTGGGTTTTTTTAAATGATGCCAAAATTATCCAACCTTAATATTTAGAGCATAGACATATCTTGCCCCCATTCGTGAAACTACTTACAGTGTTTTTAACATGTAGAGGAGACGATTCAGTGCTGCAAATACCGTATTATAAAAAGCAAATATTTGGACTCTTAATTACAGGAACTAACAAATTATAAGAACCTATCCCAAATGTAGGAAGTAGAATATTGTAGCAATAAAGTGGTTATTTCAGGCAAATTGTTATAAATATTGTAGCATTATGCCTTGCTGTGAACATTTATATATTCCTCTTCTATAATTCAGCAATGGTTAAATTCACTCTACACTTCTTGGAACACAACTGCTGCTGTGTCAGCATACTGGCTGTAGTCTAAAGTAAACAAACAAGGTCATTTGCTAAAGTCTTTAGCGATCTGATTCTTATTCCCACTAATGCTCCTTTACACCACTCCAGCAGCTTTGCAGTGGATGTAAATGTAATATCCCCTTTAATGCTCCCTTTCATTGCCAAATCAGTGTAATGGGGCCTTAATATAAATGAGACTCAAGTCCAGAGAACATAAGAGTCCCCTTTACTTCATTATGGTCTACTTGTCTAACCATACTCTATCTGTCAGAGCCTCCACCCCTTACTCAGTCATTGATGTCAATTGCAGCAATGCCTTAGTGACAAGCTCAGTTTAGACCTTATACTTCATTCAGAGGTGGTTGAAGTTACTTATTAATAAATATGATGTAGTGTATTGTGTTGCTGGAACTGCTGTTAGTAATCCATGTGATTTTATTATGCTTTTCCCCTATCTGATTACTCATATCAATACTTAGTAATTCTGACGGTCTGCCTTTGTGAACAAATAGTTCAAATATTATGCTGGATGTTGGCTTGGTTTTAGTAGTTTTGTTGAAAAATCACTGACAATTGTACTATAAAGAAAAAAAACCAGGGAATTTTAGGAAACACCAGAGAGTAGAGTCAAGGGAGAAAAGCCCTTGACTGATTATGGCTGAGGGCAACATGCACCCACTTTATATACATTTGGTAATTTCAAAGCATTGCATTGCATCATGCCTGAAACTTAAACTACAGGCTACAAAACCTGCCACAATGCTTTCCAAAACTTTTAAATTTTATCCGGCCAATTATCAAAGCCCCGGTGCTTCCCACCCATTATATGGTATGAAGGCCAAAAACTCAGTGGAAACCAGTGGGTAAGGAAAAGATGAGAGGGAGTAATGGCTCCATCAGATGTTTTCCTCTTCTTTGGTGCCCTTGGAACCCTTCTTTAGGTGCATCATAGAATTAAGTCTCCCAGGGCCAGAAAGGAATGAGCCTCTCTCCTTGTGTACCTCAAGAGCTCAAAGGGCCAGAAGAGGATGTGGTGAGGCAATGGAAGCGCTGCTCCTGAAGAAGCCATGGAAAAAGGAAGGCCAGGGGAACACTTTGGACATGCTGGCTCCTTGAATAGATGTCCAGGAATCCAAAGAAAGGTAAGGCACTGCTCTGAATGAGCTCTTCCCTACCATCTACTGATGGGGGGAAAGACCTCAGGAGCAGACCATATTTTTATAGCTGTATCTACTGTGTGACTAGCAAAAATACCTGCTCTGCCAAAGTGATCAATTTTGGCTGTTTTGGGTTAAAATTAAGTCTTGGATGGAGGGATAATGAAATGTTATCCTTATTATATAATTAAAGGGCAAAAAAAATCCTGTATTTAATATGCCCTAACTATAACCTCACTTGCTAAGGAGGATAGTGATGCCAAATCCAAGTGAAAGTCAGAGGGGGTTGGGACAGGTGTTCCTATCTGGTAGTGTAGGCTCTGTTAAAAGGTTCTTAGATACCGTTTTACCCTTCTCCTCCAGTGTTTAAAGAAAGAGATGATTTTCTATCCGTACAGAGTCCTTGATCTTACCAGTGATCACTACAGCTGAAATCATTAATAAGCTGGTCTAAATGGCTGAGCCTTAGACCTGGTGAGGGGACAGTGCTGCAGTGAAAGACGACCCAGAAGAGGCAGCAGCAGTGAGGTTCTCCACTACCTGGTGAAATCACTAGAAGCAGGAGGACTGAGCTAGTGGCAGAACATCAGAACCCAGCATTCCAGCTAAAGGGAGCAGGGTGAGGCAGGAGCCGTGGTAGTGATAGTGGTGGGCAGGCAGAGGCATCACTCAAACCCAATCTTCCCCCATCCCTACTGGCAGGAGGTGAACTCATCTGATCACAACTCTGGAGTCTGGGACTCTGCTGAGCTCAGACAACAAATCATGAGTGCGGATGCAGTGAAGGGAAAGGAGAGAGATGTGTTAAAGGGACATTCGTCCATTGGACTTTTTACACCACAAAGGACTACCACCCACTATACTGTGGGGAAGGTATTTTACTTATGGCTTGCCTGCTCTTGACTCATAGACTCATAGACTTTAAGGTCAGAAGGGACCATTATGGTCATCTAGTCTGACCTCCCGCATGATGCAGGCCACATAAGCTGACCCACCCACTTTCCCTTAACCCAGCTGTTGAAGTCTCCAGATCGTGATTTAAAGACTTCAAGTCGCAGAGAATCCTCCAGCTTGCGACCCCTGCCCCATGCTGCGGAGGAAGGTGAAAAACCTCCAGGGCCTCTGCCAATCTACCCTGGAGGAAAATTCCTTCCCGACCCCAAATATGGCAATCAGTAGAAACCCGAGCATATAGGCAAGATTCTCCAGCTGGATCCTCATTTTACCAGCGATGGCACGTTATTGCCTAATTGACTAAAATCATGTTATCCCCTCAAACCATTCCCTCCATAAACTTATCTAGCCTAATCTTGAAGCCAGACAGGTCTTTTGCCCCCACCGTTTCCCTCGGAAGGCTGTTCCAAAATTTCACCCCTCTGATGGTTAGAAACCTTCGTCTAATTTCAAGCCTAAACTTCCCCACGGCCAGTTTATATCCATTTGTTCTCGTGTCCACATTAGTACTGAGCTGAAATAATTCCTCTCCCTCCCTGGTATTTATCCCTCTGATATATTTAAAGAGAGCAATCATATCTCCCCTCAGCCTTCTTTTGGTTAGGCTAAACAAACCGAGCTCCTCGAGTCTCCTTTCATACGACAGGTTTTCCATTCCTCGGATCATACTAGTGGCCCTTCTCTGTACCCGTTCCAGTTTGAGTTCATCCTTTTTAAACATAGGAGACCAGAACTGCACACAGTACTCCAAATGAGGTCTCACCAGCGCCTTGTATAACGGAAGCAGCACCTCCTTGTCCCTACTAGAAATACCTCGCCTAATGCATCCCAAGATCGCATTAGCTTTTTTCACAGCTACGTCACATTGCCGACTCATAGTCATCCTGCGGTCAATCAGGACTCCGAGGTCCTTCTCCTCCTCCGTTACTTCCAACCGATGCGTCCCCAGCTTATAACTAAAATTCTTGTTAGTCATCCCTAAATGCATCACCTTACACTTCTCACTATTAAATTTCATCCTATTACTATTACTCCAATTTACAAGGTCATCCAAGTCTCCCTGCAGGATATCCCGATCCTTCTCCGAATTGGCAATACCTCCCAACTTTGTGTCATCCGCAAACTTTATCAGCCCACTCCTACATTCGGTTCCGAGGTCAGTAATAAATAGATTAAATAAAATCGGACCCAAAACCGAACCTTGAGGAACTCCACTGGTAACCTCCCTCCAACCTGACAGTTCACCCTTCAGTACTACCCGCTGCAGTCTTCCCTTTAACCAGTTCTTTATCCACCTCTGGATTTTCATATCGATCCCCATCTTTTCCAATTTAACCAGTAATTCCTCATGCGGTACAGTATCAAACGCTTTACTAAAATCGAGGTATATTAGATCCACCGCATTTCCTTTATCTAGAAAGTCTGTTACTTTCTCAAAGAAGAAGATCAGGTTGGTTTGGCACGATCTGCCTTTCGTAAACCCATGTTGTAATTTGTCCCAATTGCCATTCACCTCAAGGTCTTAACTACTTTCTCCTTCAAAATTTTTTCCAAGACCTTGCATACTACAGATGTTAAACTAACAGGCCTGTAGTTACCCGGGTCACTTTTTTCCCCTTTCTTGAAAATAGGAACCACATTAGCTATTTTCCAGTCCAACGGTACCACCCCCGAGTTAACAGATTCATTCAAAATTATCGCTAAGGGGCTTGCAATTTCTCGTGCCAGTTCTTTCAATATTCTAGGATGAAGATCATCTGGTCCGCCCGATTTAGTCCCGTTTAGCTGTTCAAGTTTGGCT